TATAAATATTGTGTACATATCAATGTATGGGCGCACAAACTTCTATATCTATTATATTTCGGTAATCCAGCAAACAGGGGTAGGGCCGGGGAAAGGCTATTCACTCAATGTTCCCTTAAGGAGTTGGATCAATGATGAGGAGTACGAAGGCTTGTTCCAGAAGGTATGTGGCAGGGCTTTAAGGTGCACAGGTTTTAGGGTTTTGATAGCAAGTGTGAGAGCTGATTGGAATCTAATACGCACAAATGTATCCGATGGATAGTCTCAGTTGTGACAATATTTGCATACGACAGTGATGGTCAACGTCCTACTTTATAATATATATATATATATTTATATATTATATATATATATATTCATATATATATATATTCATATATATATATATATATATATATATACGCTTTGTTGACAAGAATGTATTTTTCTAACGTCCAACGAACAGCTACGCTTCCTAATGTGAAGTCATGAGTTACACAATTAGGTATATCCCGTATTGAGCACACACCGGGTACCTTCTACATTGAAAGGTGTGACATCGATAGCTATAGAGTATTCTGTTGCAGTACATTCATTCACCAATGCCCAACGAATGGGACACTCAAGTGTTGTGCATATTGAGGAATACTCAATGAAGGCTAAACTCTAAAACCTTATAACCCTAAACCCTAAAAACATACAGCAGGAGTGTTAAATAAAGATACACATTCAATACACCAGCTTTAGTACTCAGAAGAGTTTAGGCTTTTAGGGTTTAGACATTCAACATGTCTTTTTGGAGTGCGGGCATTGATGGGAACATTTAGCTGTTTTTAGCATTTAGTATTTTGCCTTGAAAAGATGTTAACGTTTGACCATTTTTTCACATTTAACATCTTACTTTGGAAAGTGGGTTTTGATGTTATAATTTTTACCAATTCTAACATTTAACTTTGGAGTGAGGGTATTGTTGTTTAATTTTTAGCTTTTTATAGTTTAACATTAATTATTTTACTTTGAAGTGCGGGTATTGGTGGTGTTAAAATTTGACCTTTTAACCTCAGGTGGTAGGGGCTGCGGTGGCTAAGTACAAACCAGAAGCCATTGTCATGCAATGTGGCGCAGATTCATTAGCCAGAGACAAACTGGGAGAGTTCAATCTGTCATCACAAGGTTAGTGTATGTAGTGTGTTAGTGCCAGTTTTGACATCTTCAGTCCTGATTTATGAGATATTGGTGGGGAATATAGGGAAAAGCTGTGTGAATAGCAATTTTATGACCTTCAGTTCAGCCTGATTTGTTGAATACTGGCTCTGCATTGGATTGTTTTCTTTCTGCGTTAGGGATTGATTTAGGGTTCGAGGGTCTTAAAGCATGAACATCACCACATACTGACACCTGTCATTTTATTCAATTAACACCTGTCATTGTGTCTTATTGACACCTGTCATTGCCCTACTCGCGTCATCCTCCTGTAGGTCATGCGGACTGTGTTCGCTATGTCAAGGCTTTCTGTCTGCCGCTGCTGCTTCTGGGTGGTGGTGGTTATACCATTGAGAATGTGGCCAGGTGTTGGGCCTTAGAGACGGCTGTGGCTGTTGGTGTTGAGATCAGTGCAGGTGTGTGTGGCTGTGCATGTGTGTGCGATGTATGTCTGCATTGTGGGGTGAAACGTGCGGATGCTTTCTATACTTACTTGTATGTGTGTTTGTATGTGTGTTTGTAGGTGTAAGAGAATGTGTATGTGTATGTTTAAGTGTATGTACATGTGTATGTGTATGTGTATGTGTGTGTGTGTGTATGTGTATATGTGTATATATATGTGTGTATGTATGTGTATGTGTATGTTTAAAAGATTTTATGTGTATGTGTATGTGTAGCAGATATAATACC